AATTATTAAAATTGCATAATGAGTTACAGAGTTGCATAACGAGAATGCAAAGCGCACTAAACCAGTTGATTTTACAATAGTTTTATGTTTTTTCAGCTCTACATAGCACCCACAATTCATTTTATTGGACTTCATAACTAGTCGTATAAAATGTGATTTATGTACTTCGTAGTTTGTGCATTTGTTTATGAATTTTAGGTGGAGTGCAGATAATCTAGTTTTATGCGCAATTACACAATCAGTTCATTATTTATTAAAATAACTTTAATAATTTGATAATTAATTCATACATACATTTCTTGTTTCATTCATAAAATATCTGAGAAGGCTGTTTGCTTTTAGGAATCTCCGATAGATAAGTTGCCCAATAAATCGGTTGCAAAACAAGAACCTGCGCCAGACAGCGTCTGTTCTGGGCGCCTTCCGATCTTCCGACTTGGCTGCGCCCAATTTGCCGAGGCGTGAAAGAGTGGAACTAAGCGGGCTGGAGTTTCTGTGAGTTGATCGGCGTTGGGTAATGCACCATGATGAAGGTCGACATCTGGTGGCGGGGAGTTGATGGAGAGGAAAAGTGTGGCCCGCTAACCAAGTGGAAAATCCACCTGATGGGGCACCAAACGGCGCCGCCAACTGTTGATTCATCCAGCCATCTCGGCCAGTTCGTGTCTTAAGTCTTTTGTTTTTCACTTTGGCTTTTTGGCGCGTCGCTTCGCGCTTCGTCGCCAGAAATGTTTCCGCAATTTGGCACTGCACTTGGCACTTGGCAGTTGGCGGTTGGCAGCTGTGGGAGCTGTGCTCCTTGTCTGCTCCAATTGGGCGGCGATGGGCAACCCAATCTCAGCCCCAGAAACGGTGGCCAAAAATGCGAAGCAAATCGAATCGAAATACCCCTGCCCGCTGACATTCGGCCCCAAAAGAGAGTGAAAGCTGCACGAGCACATTGCTATCGCATTAATTTTCAGCTCAGCTGCGACTTCGATCCGACTTCTTCGACTTACTTCGACTTACTTCGACATGGGCCAATGCAGGCAGTTGTTCATTGCTCGCTCGTGTTTTAATTTCGTGTTGTATAAAGTGTTGTTTCTCCCCACCCATTCCCCTTCTTTCCCCCAATTTTCATTGTCAGCGTGCGGGCATGCAACCACCTAGCCTGGCTTCTTTCCCAAAGCCCCCCAAATGCTAAGGCTTATTTCATAATTGCGCCTGAGCTGGGCCTCCGAAAAGCCGAGAGTCCACCGCCCGATGCACATATCAAGCGAAATTAATCATAGTAATTGCCGGCGCTGAATTCGACTCTGTTTTGCGCGCTACGTGTAAATGAACTCCGGCGGAAAGCGTTTAGCTGTGTGGGAAAAGCCGCATTTTTTGGCAGCCACCTGTCCCTGTTCGGGCGCCATCTGTGTCAGCGGTATATGCAAAAATGCCAGCTATGTGTGATAATTGTTTTGTGTTTTACTTTCGAACCCATGCACTTGAAAGAAATGTATAGCAATAGAAACCTTTGTAGTGTCCAGTTGTCTGAAGGTACATCGATTTTCATTATTAAATTGTGTAAGTCCCAATTTGTAATGTTATAATTTTCAGGAGATTAAAAAGCATTATTATTATTAAACTGCATATATTTGTAATTCGACTCTTGCCCATTTAGCTGATGATTTTTCACCGTGTGAAATTTCCATTGCCACTGGGTTGGGAAAATGTGAAAAAGGGCCAGGCCAGGCCAGGCAAGCCGACTGACTTTGGCATACTTTCGATGCCAAGCGGATTGATTAGCATCTATAGCCCCTCTGCAGCTCCCTCATCTGGCATTCAACTGGTGTCCCATGCGTGGGACTCACTCATATTATACGCTGGGTATCTGTGCATATATTTCTTATTCTCCCCGATCAACTGGCGACATTGTTCCTCGCTCGCTGTCAGTTCTTGTGTGGGCAAAAGTGCCTCTGATTGTCGCTGCTTGCAAGCGTGGTTGCCTCGTTTGTGCTCTAACAACTGCGAACTGTCAGTTGCCCGATAGCTTTATGGGCATTAAAAAATTCGGGGCGTTGCAGACAGAAGTGTGACAAGGAAATGGTATTGTGAGCCGAAGGATTCCAAGCCAACACCCTAAGGAAATTTAAATACTCGTATATTGAGCTCAACTAACATAGTCAATTTTTCAATAGTGCAACAGTGTTTATATTACGTAAATAGTTGCAACTAAGAAAGCTATTGCTAGAATGTATTGAGCACAACGAAATATTCACTATAATTATATGTAGTATACCCAGAAAGTGCCCACTAATATTGAAGCATTTATTAGCCGCACTCCCATAGGTGACCTAATGGATTAATTGCCGCTGAGTCTCACCCAGAACATCTTCCCACATCACTCACTGCTCACATCTGAGGTGACCCGCCACTTATGGCTGTGACCGCATTTGGATCCGCTTCCCATTCGACTGCAAAACAGCAGCTGTTGCTAATTTGTTAAGAAGGCCATTAAAAAAACAGTGCAAAAATTCACTGGCGTGTGAACCATCATAGAAATCAGTCGAGTGGCCAAGTAAATTAGCCACCTCCTCTGGCCGATGAGAAGGAATTGGGTCAGCGTCTGGAATAAAAAGGTATCTCGAATTGCCGGCGGAATGTGGCCAGAAAAAAGTTGCAGCATCATCGATCGACTCTGGCCCAAACAGTTTATGGCCAAATAATTTATGCGTGAAATGCAGAAAAACAAAATGCGAATTAGCCGCCGGCAGGGGCTGTTCCATTTGAAATGATATTTAATAATAGGTAATTGTGAAATGAAAAACATGAGAAACACAAATCAGACGCCCATATATCAATCCATCTAGGAGAGTCTTGCATAATTATCATAGGGCATCTAATCTGTTTTTATGTTTTCAGTTTACCTTTAAGGTATCCAAGCGAAGAAAAGTGCGAGACAAAATGGCAAAGACAATTTGAATGTATTTTTGTCACTTCGCCATCTCCTTCGTTTTTTTTTTTTTTTGGGCCAGGCTATCTCCTTCAAGGTCGCATAAATAATAAAGGTAAAATGTGGCAAGTGATTCCACTGCGCTAATTAATTCAGTTGCCCTAATTCAGCCCTGCTCTGTTTTGATTTTTGAATGCCCTAGAATGGGGTGTGATATATTTATGAGCCAATTTGTAACAAAAGGAAAGAGAAACGCAGACCCATTAACAAGGGAATTTTATTATTTTATTATACATTTCTACATTATTATTATATTTGTGCTGTTCTTTCATTACTATGCTAAAGCATTTTAATTTGGAAGCTTGTTCACTAGAAAAATGTTAGTTGTAGACAGGGTACTTTAGGCTGCATTAATTAACCATTTATTTTAAATATTAAGCAAAATCCAAAGACCATTTAAAGGATGCTACTACCATTTAGGGGTGAAGCAAATCACTGTTTTGATTTATAATTTCATGTTTATTTAGGGTATTCACATGTTCGATTCCAAAGTTATATCAAAAATAGTCTGTTTTTGTTGTGTGAATTTGTGTGTTTGGCTTTTGATGCCGCTCAAACTGATTTGCATATACTAAGCTCGATCTCTTTCATTTCTTATCGCTGTCTTTTTCTTCCCTAGAGATTTGCGCAATTGTGGCTGCAGTTGGGTATTTCTCCTCCACGTTTGTGTTTTGAGATGTTGGCCCTTTCCGCAGTTCCCTTCACAACTAACCAATTGTGAGACCCACGTGCTGCTGCCCACTTCAAAGAAGATACAAAGATACAAGATAAACTGACTGAGTTGGAGTGCGGAGTATCTGAATAGCATATAATCGTCTGCGTCATCATCATCATTATGATCATCATAAGATGCCAGTGACCTTTGACGGGCTATTCATTTCTCTAGCTTCTCTTCGCCGATCGATATCTGGGTAAGCCTCCATGTAATGCACGATTTTTGTGGAAACCGAATGATTGAGGCCTTTGAAAACAGTTAAGGAACATATAGTGTTACCCCCACTGACCCGGCTTCTATTCGTATTCAAATTGCTGGCGAAAATTATCTGAAATATGGGTCAAAAACTACAGGTTTCTGGTTTCTCGCAGCAAAATATGTGTTAATCACTTCCCATGAATTATTCAATAAATTTCGAATAAAAAGCAGCCACAAATCTATATAGGAGGGTGCGAGTGAGATGGCGTGCAGATTTGTGTGATTTACAGATGGCAATTAAGTTTAAAAGTGTTGCCAAACATAAGCAAACAATTTAGCAGGCGATTCTATACTGATTTTACGACTCTCAGAACAAGTTTACACCGCCGACCACTGTCCACTGGATTATGGCACCCCGCCGATCAAGGGTTACCCCATAGCCAGGTGGCTCGTTTTGAAATCAAAGGGGCAGTTACAAGTTTGCAGAATGGAGGGGACGAAAATTTATGGGCATTGCACTTGGTCCCCTTCAGCTTAATGGGTGGGGTGCTACTTCGTAGCCACTTAGGAGTTAATTGGTGTGGCTAATTCCCCAACTTTGTCTTTCGTTAGCCCGTAAAACAAACCGAACGCTGCTCCTAAATCTTGGCGCTTCACATAAATTTCGGGTCGAGGTCAAGCGGTTATCTATGGGAAGTATGGCCTGATTTACGACCCGACAGAGGGTGATTGAATTTCGAGCCGAAAGCCGGCGACAAAGTGATGGGAAAACTCTGGCTGACATCATCGAAGGCACTCAATAGAAAATGATGTGGTGACAACAACACCAAACTGCATTCTCTGAATATCTAAACACGACCTATTTCTAAGCTCTACACTTAACATAAAAATATCGTTACTATTGTGTAATAATAACGATAGTAGCGTATTTTTAAATGATACCTTTGTATTTGAAGCTGTAGCTCAGCATGCCCAGACTTTTATTTCAGTAGCTTGTGGCAATAAATCCTATAGGCTCATCACTTTCAAACCAACATTCAGAGCGGTTAGAGCTCAGTTTCAATCAAAAATTGAAAAAAAGCCAAAACTAAATATTTGTATATTTCTTAAATAAAAGGTGAGCAAAACTTTCAAAACATTATTAGAACCTCGCAGATAAAATTCTTTAAAACTATCAAAGGCTACATTTCTATGGAATTTTCGAAAAAAGAAGGCAACTTATTGATTCATCCTTTAGACCAACAATGCCAGTCTACCCAGTAGAGGCGGAATTCAATGGCGGCGGAGATGTGGCCAAGAACGACTCCAACTCGCAGCAATCGGTGGAGGGAGCCGATGCATTCGCCGCCTGCCAGAAGCCGCGTCCGGATGTCAGTTCCATGCCGGTTCGCCAGTACCTCGACCAGACAGTGGCCCCCATTTTGCTCCACGGACTGCAGGCTTTGGCCCGGGATCGACCCAGTGATCCGATCAGTTACTTGGCTACCTATCTGTTGAAGAACAAGAATCGCTGCGACGAGATCAAGATGGATGAAAACTAATTTCCCTTTTCGTTTTCGCTTATTGTTTGACCCCTTATCACCACGAACTGTATGCCGATTTTTAGTTTCGTACACGAAAAATTAGTCTTGTGCACAACTTATCGCTGATTTAAACTGAAGGCCACTTACCAGCCACGATTTCATGATGATCCTTCGGCGTTTTCGTATTAATTTTCTGATTTAATTTGCAATTTATTTGCCGTTGGCTTTTCACGGCCTCGTACACACGCACAAGATTTTCCGAATTATCTATTATCTCAGCGGTTGCCAATTTCGGCAATCCTCATTATTGGCAATTAGCCGGGAGGCTTTCAATTAGTTCCAGCTCCAGCTGCTGAGGCTTTTGTTTATTTTGCAAATATTTATTTTTGCTCAACACTTCCGATTGCAGCCCACGCTCGTTGCAATCTGCGATCGCTGCTATTTTGTTTGGACGGTTTTGAATTACGGTTTGGGCCAGGTTTTCGATTTCAAACTGGCGCTCGTGTGTCTGGTCGACTGGCTGGCTCGTTCGCCACTAAATTCGCAGCGAGCTTAGTTGACGGTTTAAAAACTTCAAATTCGAAACCGCTTCGGTTCAAAAGCGAGCGCCAACAGCGCCAAAGCTTCGGCTCTGGGTTCGTCGTATTTTTGATTCAGTCAGTTCTGCTTGGGCCAATTTAATCTACTTTGGGGGCTGGCTCTCCTCTCGAGTAAGCCGATTTCTCGGTTTGAGGCCCACCCGCAATTGTCACGCGCCAAAATCGAAATGAAAAATAAAAAACTATATGTGCGGCACATATTGCATAGAATAATTACATCCAATTGGCAGCGAGCTGGGTCTAAAGATCACACCACATCGCTGGTTCAGTGCATCTCTGGGCCAAATGAGTGATAAATACTTCACTCATTTTCGAAAGGGTTTGCGAACGGCCTTGGCATGTTGGATCTTGAAGTGCAAAGCAGGTTCAAGCCGATGTGGAGTTAGATAACTTGGCGTCTCGACAGTTTCCGATCAGTTTAAAAATTATTAAAATACCCCGAGCCATATCCGAGATATTTTTATCGAGACAAATAAACACGTCTAAAAGTAACAAAGAAATCTCCGGGCACTTCGCCATTTGAGTCAGCGAATTTAGTTGGCAACGCAAATATTTGATAGTCAAGGGAGAAAGGCCAAGTGCATAGCTTTGATACCCTTCGCTCCGAGGGATAGGCATTATCCAATTAAAAGCGGAAGAGAAGGGGACCTATATATTCATTTCATGATTCATTTCGGGCTACCCAGCTAATTAACACGCCTTAGATCACCTACTTAATGGCAGTTACTTTGAGACTTGACTGTGAACAATTTAATATATTTCTAGCTAAAAAATCATAACAATAAATAAAGAATTCTTTTAGAATGTTTAAATACCCCATCAATAATCTCTAACTTGACATACAGATTGTTTTGGATTACCTGCAGAACCATTCCCTGCCCTAAAACATAAAGCTCTCGAATAGGGTATACTGCCATATTCATAATCCATTAGAAGCCAAGAAAACAAAATAAAACAAACAAGCCTAGAAACATAACAACAACCCGCCAGCCCACACGGATAACAAAAGTCCGGCATATGATTTCTGCTGGCGTATCTGTGGCCATCTGTATCTGTATCTTGTGCTTGCCTTGTGGCTCGAATTAATTAAAAAATCAAAGTCGTTGTAATTATTTGAGTCGGCTGCAAAAAGTGTCTGGCACTCGATGCTATCTGGTGTGGCTCTCAAGATCTTAAGCCCCGAAAGTGGAGTTGCAAATTGAACTTGCTTTTTTTGGCGCCACAGCTGCCATTGTTGTTGGTAACTATCAAGTGCGTGGGCGACTTGGAGTCGCATGCGCCTAATGGAGCACTGAAATCCAAGGCCTCCCAGTCAATCCGACCGGCTGACTTGGGCTCGATAAACCGATCATGGCGAATAGGCCTCCTATATAGCCATATATCCGTTGCAGCTGACGTCACGCGGCATGAAATCATTTTTGAAAAGTAGGGGATAGGGATAAATCAGCCAGCATTCCATGAATAATCATAGGCGAGCGGACGAGCGGACGAGCACTAGAGATACAATATATTCGCCAGCTAGTTCAATAAACAAAACCACACGGCGATTCAATTACCAATGCAGCTCACAGCGTCTGGACTTTGACTTTGACGACCCACGGTGCGTATGAGCGACGCGGAACAAAACTGTTTGAGTTCGGTTCGGTTTGGGGGTTTTCGGATTATTTATGCGTTACATGCCGAAACACAAAGCCAAATCGGAGTATTTCACATGACGCATTCGGTTGACATGCGTGTCACTCCAAACAGCAGCGGCCACGCCCCCTCGCCAATTTTAAATTACAGGAAGAAATATATTTAATTTGCGGTTGCCTAACTAATATTTTAAATGGCAAATGTGTCATCTATGCGCAAAATACACAAACAAAATATGAAAGGCAAACAATGAATGTTTGGGCTTAAAGAAATCATTCAAAGTAGATGCACCTACATATGTATTTAAAAAAAAAGGGTTTTTACACCTAGCATTTTTTTCAGTGCATCGCAACTATTCGAGAAATTGACAATTGAAATGAAGTTGATTGAAATGCGATTAACAAAATGAATATAAAACTGCAGCGGCAATAACAACAAATGACCAACACTATAAATGTTTTCTTTTGTCGGATTGAATGGAATTGAATAATCACAGGTGGTGTAAAAAAGAGGGGGAAATGATATTGGCATAGTTCAATTCGGCAAAACTGTTCAGTAGGCTATTTTTATAGCCCCAACATCGATTGTTTTTTGGCCATTTTCCTGCAAAGTCACGAAATCTCGGGGCGCTGTGACAATTTTATACGTATACTTTATATAATGCAATGAGATAATCAAGGCATTATGTCAGCCCAACTGGGCCAAGCTGGGCTCAGGTGTATCTAGCAGCAGATAGATCACATGGAGAGGCTATGATCTCAGCAATCGGGCCGTGAAAGTTCTAGCTTTTGGATTAAGACCCCCACGCAATGCCAGCATAAAATGGAGTGGACGACGGTGCTCCACTTCGGACACTTTGGAGTCCGATCACCAAAAATATCAGCATGACCTACGCTAATAGGGAATTTGGAAGAGAAAGATTCCAAACTAATTTTAGCAGTTGCGACATCGCCGAAATATCAGAATACCGAGCCAGCAGCAACAACAAAAGTTCGCTGAACTGCACAAAAGATATAGAAGAAGTAGAATAAGACAAAGCCGGGCTTCATTAGCCCTGGCATCATCACCACCTGACCATCTCACCAACACCGCCGAAGAAAGCAGCAGTCGCAGATTGGGCAGCGGGCAAAAAAATGCACACAAATCAACGTTAGAGTTTTGGCATTCCAGCGGGAACAAAGCGAAGAAAGATGGAGAGTTCGGGGCGAAATTCCCGGTATCCACAAGTCAGGACAGAGTAAATTGACTTTTTATAGACAGTGACAACAATTAATTATATTTTAATATGCTGCGCAGCCTGGCTTATTAGTTTATAGTCTCAACAAAGTATCAACAATACAAATTAAACAGCCCCTCCATCTCCACGCCATCCCATCTCAAACCCTAATCCGAGTCCAAACTCGACCTCGAAGAAAGGCCGCCACAGAAAGTCATCGAACTTTCTCCCTGTTCTTTCGCCGACTAATTTCTATATTAGGTGTCATGGTCTTCGGCTGGCGGTGGTTCTATTAATTACCCCAACAGCTGCGATCATTTATAACGTAGTCGGGGTAGTCAATCTCCCAGATCTGCGATCTGTTACAATTCGTAGGTGGAAAACCCGGGGAGTCAGTGGAGCTCCCAAGACGCGAGGTCGAACAAATTTGTCTAAACACAATCGCAAAGATTAGCAGCCAAATTGCCGTGTCAAGTGAATCTCTCAAGTTGGGAACCTAGTGGCTCCTCCAGAAGAAAGAAAAGACCCGACCCGGGTATTATACAATCGCGTGAGTCTTCTCAGAGCTGCTGCGAATATCTATTGCCCAATTCATTCTTTGTAAACGTTGACATGCGAACAGAATGGTTATGGATAGAATGGTTAGATGGATACAGCTGCGGATGGTGTGAGTGGTGCCCCCAAGCAGCGTCTCAGCTGTAATTAATAGCAGCTTACGAGTTAGTCGCAAATTAGCCACATGACACAGCGCCAGCAGAGGCGTAGGAGTCTGGAGACGGTACCGAGACGGTTTCTCGTGGGCGGAACTGACTCCATCCGGGAGAACTCTTAAGCTCTTTGCCACTTCCCTTCGATATTACCACCGACTGTTGAAAAAGTCGCTAACAGCTTCCGTTCGATTGGAGGCGTTGCGGTTGACGAGTTGTGCAGCGTAGGCGTTTGCTTAGCACTCTAAATTACTTTACATTTTAAGCGAGTCGTAAATATACTAATAAATTGTACACCTTCTCTTACTTAACTTTTATAAACGAATGCTGGAACCTGATATAAGTATGAAATATTTATAGTTTATACATATGTCCATATGCTTTTTATTCCAGAATTCTTTTTTTTTTGTGTTTACTAAGTACTAGAATACATTACACACTAGCATCCAGCGCAACTGAGCACACTCTGAGCGCAACTAGTTGAGGGGATTCGATGTCTTGGCGCTCTCCTGGCGGATGGCGTTGATCAGCTCGTAGTTGACCAGGAAGGTGAAGCGCAGACCGGAGATTTCCACTGTGCAGTTGTGACCGAGTCGGGCTTTGTTGGCGGTCAGTAAAGGAGTGCCGTCGATGAAGATGGCCCTTTTCCCCTCGTTGGCGATGAAGAAGTCACCATTGCTGCGCAGCTTAATAGTTCCCTGGCGGCGCGAGATCTTTGCAGCCGGTCCCTCGAGTCCCAGATCCACGTCCACCACACAGTCTTTGGCATCGCGACCAAATGTAATTTCCTTGGAACGCATAAGGTACCGCACATGGCGACCGCACAAGCAGGCCAGTGTCTGGTTGTCGAACTCGGAGGCAGCGGTCGGACTAAGCACGGAATCCACCAGGACGCCCCAGCGGGAGAGCTCGTTCTCCAGCAAGCGAATATCACGTTTGTTGCGACGATCTGCCAGAGCTCGCTCCATCTCCAGGGCTTCATCACGTGGCTCGTTAAGGTCGTGCTCGAAGATTTGATCTTCTGCATCCGAGAAGCTGAGTGGTTGCTGATCTGTGCCATATACAGGCTTCACATCCGGCAATAGGCTGTACTGCTTAAGAAGAAGCCAATGGTTTTGCAAGGATTTGGCAGTGCGAGCGCAGTAGAAAACAGATGCATTCTTGTCCAGGAGCTCCTGGAACTGCTCAAGTTTAGGTTGTTCCGACTGTGGATTGTATTATTAGTATTATTAGGCTTTAACCATGATAAATGGTTTACTTACGCTCTTAATGGTTCCAAGGAGGTCCTCCTCTTGCACGCTGTACAAAGCCTTGCGCTGAACGGACTCCACCAGTTCAGGGTGCAGGTTCCTCATGGCGGACACTGCTATTCTGGACACCGCAGGCTCATACAGCAGAGCATACCAGCGCTGCTGCAGTTCCTGCAGAGTAAATTTGCAAGAAAACTTGACGCCGCGATGGATAATCCGCAGATCGTTGGTCTGCTGGATGCCAATTATGAGGGCCAAGTCGTCAATGGGCTTCCAGCGGCCCAGATCCTTGGTGGCCATCTGTCCCATGGGACGACCATTTCTACGTTGCGCCTTTTTGCTGGCAGGACGCACAGGACGCGAACGTCGCTCGCTCGCCGTGGCGCGCTCCATGGGCAGAGGTTTGGGATGCGCTACGGCAGTAACAATTGGCGCAACTGGAAGGGGAGTGGCTAAGGGAGCTGGCGTTGTGGGCGTGGCCAGGGGCAGCGATGCAACAGTGCTGGGTGTCCCCGGCAACAGGGAATCCACTGATCCCGGCGTCTGAGGCGTCTCTGGCGTGGAAGTGGGTATGTTAAGAGGAGCTAACGTGGTGTGCGGCACGCCCACCAAAGCAGGATAATTCTGGGAGGTGGTGCGTGGTCTGCTGTTGCGATTGGCGTCTGTTCCGCTGCGATTTGTGGGCACTGCAATGTTGTACTCCACTATTTCGTCATCAAAACGCTTCCTTTTAATCGTCCGGGATGAACTGTTTAAATGAAATAAGAGTTGTCACTTTATCCGTCAAACTTGACTGACATTTGTCAAGTCTCACCTTCTTCGCTTTTGATCGTTTTGCAGTTCTATCGGCAGATTTGGAATCGGATTTCGTATCGGTGTTGAAATTCCAGCTGTACTGTGAGCTGTACTTCCTAATGTGGTTGTTGTTGTTGTTGTTGTGGCTGCTGGTGTTGGTAAGCTTGTTGTTGCTGGAGACACGCCTGCTTGGATTAGTGTGCTTGCAGCTGCTGTGGGAATGGTGGTCACTGTGGGGGGATTGGCAGCGGTAATGGGCGCTGCACTGCTGGTGCTGACGGGGATCCTTATTGCTTCCATCGCTCTTGCGGGCTGTTTATGGGCTAAAAAGTAATTATTTTCGCGACGCACAACTCAACAGTGTGACCGCAGCAGCGGGAAAAAGTATATCTGGTGCAGGGCTGCCACATCTTCGGAATAAAGTGTCACTGCAAGAAAAACATTTGTTAATAGCAGATATAAAAAACTTAACATTGAAATTGTTTTCGTAATTGACTTAGTTTTTACATCCGGGTACTTAACAGTTTTTAGAAGTTTTTCGTTCAGTAACTTGAAATAATAATAAATTGGTGAAATTGTTAGAGAAATTAAGAAAATTTTATTTTATTATATTTTTCTTATAACTTTAAATAGAAATTGATGGAATACAATTGAGCTTGCTCAAGTGAAAATGTCTTCGTCATTAAAAGATGTGTACAATTTTTAACTGCTACTGGCCTGCCAGATGTCCGTGGGAAACCCACGCTTCGCAACACTACCACCCACACATACAGTCGCGAACATCTGGCAACCTCGCTACTGGTCCCTCTCGAAATTTTGTTTACTGGTATTTAAATATCTGCGAATTTTGGCCAAGAAGTCTGACTTATGCACCCAGCACTGATGCCCTGAGCGACTAGATGAGTGTCTGGATGAGCGGGCCCCCGAAATTTCGCACTAGCCACACATATTATACGGGAAACTATGAGGTAAATGGGTCTTTGCTCGAAAACAAAAAGGCGACTCACTAATATGACTAATCGATTTGCAGTTTGCACTACGCGGAATCGGAATCTTCGCAGTCAGAGAGCAAAATGGACATCTCGGAGACGCCGACGGACTCAACGGGCGTCTCGCCGCTGGCGGATGATGTTGTGCCCACCGCGCCGGAGAAGAATATCCTGGAATTGGAGCAGGCGAAGCAGGATCACGATAAGAAGGAACTGGAGTTCAAGACGACTTCCACGCTGGACAACCGAATACTGCGTCCGGAGCTGCTGCCCATGGAGGCGATGCCACAACGACACAACACCATCGAGCGCACCCTGGCCAACAGCCATCCGCTGATGTCGCCAACCAACACGGACTCAGACTCGGAGCCCTTTCAGCTGAAGAAGCCGGAGAAACAGCCGCCGAGGAGCAACTTTCCTGATGTTGTGCCCACCACGGAGACGGTGCAGGTGAAAAACAACTTGAATCAATCCCGGAACAAGCCGCAGGACGCCAAGGTTAGCTTGCTAAGGGCCAACAGTCCGGATATCCTGAGCAGCGAGTCAGATGCGGATGTATCGCAGTACTTGGCCGCTGTGGAGTCCAACTTTCAGTCTGTTTCCCTGATGCCCAATGGAAATGGCAAAAAATCCAAGCGATCGACTACACTCCCTGGAGGCGAGGACATATCTAGCTTGGATTCCATTTCCAATCACAGCTTCGACGATGACGAGGACATTGAGCACAATTTGGCCTCCTTAAGTCCATCGAGCTCGCTGATTGATGGCTTAGACGGAGAGGATGACGACGAAGATTGCGAGGGTCCAGAACTGCTGCCCGACCACGATGACGACTTGGAACTGGACCTGGAGTTCGGTTTGGCCACCACGCCCACGCCAAATGCTCCGGCATCGGCTATGGCTGCCTCAACTTTGCCGCAGTATACGGCTGCTGAAGAGCGACGTGATTCGCGGAATTGGCAGAAGATCACTTTACCGGATGGACGCACCCGGGAGATCGACATGCGGGTCATAGAGCCCTACAAGCGTGTGCTATCCCATGGCGGCTATCTCAAATCTGGCGGCCAGAACGCCATAGTCATCTTTTGCGCCTGTCACCTGCCGGATAGGTCGAGGGCTGACTACAGCTATGTGATGGACAATTTGTTTCTCTACGTGGTCAAGACCCTGGAGCAGTTGGTCACTGATGACTATGTGCTAATCTATCTGCATGGCGGCTCCAATAGGCGGAACGTTCCGCCTTTTCCCTGGCTCAAACGGTAAGTGGTTTGGTCTGATTTTTACGAGGTTTGTAATGCCGTGTTATGATAAACATGCAGGTGTTATCAGCTGCTTGATCGTCGACTGCGCAAAAGCCTGAAGCACATGTATTTGGTGCACCCCACATTCTGGATAAAATCGCTAGTATGGATGGCGCGGCCTTTTGTGAGGTAAGTAATAATAATCACTGTTAACTTTAGTTTTATTGTAATAACTGCCTTGTCGCTGTAGCACAAAGTTTTGGCGGAAGCTGGTCTACGTAAAGTCCCTGGAGGAACTGGGCATGCATGTGGTCGTGGAGAAGGCGGCCATTCCGGAAAAGGTGAAGCAATACGACGCCAAGCGGCACTGAGGTACTGCGATGCCCCAGACTTGTTAAACGCAAAACGCTAATGCAAACTTAACGCATTCATGCCACACTCGCTACTCGAGCCTCTGCATTCCCCATCTTCAATAAGAACTGAGGCAAATCCTCCAAACCGGTCGTTTGCGCTCTCTCGCTATGCTTTAATTTAAGATCTCAATCTTTGTGATACTTTAATTTTGCCTTCTCTCAGCCAAGTCGAAATCCCCCCTGCATTTTTCTGTGTGAAGCGTGAAGGCGTTCAGCAAAACATCGAACAAGTTTTTGTAGTTCTTTATTGGCAGTCGTAGAAATCGTATTAGACACAGACTCATATGTGTTAGGATCCTATATATACACCCACATACATAATGATACCATGTAGTTATCGTGTAGCTTCCGCTTCATATATATTTTATAATGGAACATACATATGCAACCAGAAACCACCAACCTTCCGAACATGTTACCTTTCCTTTGTAGTGGCAAAAAGAGAAAACACGAAGTTGGAACAGGAGCAACACACTAAACTGACCCTAAACATAAGTAATTGAAAATCTTTAGCTGAATTTTGCATCTTATATCGCATATTGTATATTCCAAGCGTTCCAAGCACGACACTTTCGCTGACACATGAGAGACCCCATGCCAGTCGACAGTAGGTGCCCCATTTATCTCATTCACCATCAGAGTTAGCCGATTAGCCTGTAAGTGAACTAGCGACCATTCTTTGTGGAATCTACACACGGACACACGTAGAATCTCTCTAGAGGATAAAGTGACGTACAATTAGGCAATGTAACCGATTGATATTAAGAGCGACATTTTGTTGGTTTCCTTTTACCGCTTTAAACAAACAATAATAATAAAGTGCAAGATGAATTTTTATTTATTATGCAATAAATCTTGTGAAAATCGTCCTCCTATGAGTAATAGCTCTGATCGCAGTCCCACAGGTCGTTGTCCTCGTGGAATTGGATGAGAACCAGTTCGTAGGTTACGATAGTTCCAGCAACCTAGGTGGGTATAATATGAATATGTATTAAACTATATCATCATATATTTCCAGTCTTACACTCAGCACCAGCTTTCTTGTGAGGTGGAAAAACTTCATGCCACTGAGGGTCACCTCATCGCTTATTACCTCCTCCGTAAACCTTTTCACCTCCTGGCACCAGGACTCCTTGGGCACACAACGTAGGTATCTCAAAGTCAGCCTGGATTCATCATGAACACTCGACGAGTACAGTGAAACCGCCAGAGTGCGGCCAATTAGGAAGAAGAGCGAGAAGTAGAAGTACACAGCATGGGCCACCGAAGGCATAGTGCTACGAGGGAGTATATAAACTGATGGATCAACTGGAAGTGATTAGGTTTCACTACTCACTTCAAACTCCTCAGCAACTGGACGCAAATGAAATACAAATTGTTGGAGAAGGACACCATCGTTATAAGTGATATGGCATCGTCCATTTTGTCGCATAGTATACATATATTTCTGTACTGAATACGACGCTCTGACCAGTATGTTGGTGCCATGTTCTGCAAGTAGTTATTGCTTTTCATATGGGATTCAATTTGTATTGCCTTACCATTCCTTTAAAATTTCGCAAATCATCGTTGAGCTGGCGAAACTTCGATGCCAGTCCAATGCTCACAATCATCACGAACATGTCCATGTAGTTCCATATGAAGGTGGAGTACACGTTCTGGAATTTGCCCCACAAGGCCAGAGCTGTGGTGTAGCTGGTCACGAAGAAGATCTCGTCGTTGGTGCGCAGAAAGTAATTCTGAATAGGATCGGCGGTGCGGTTGCAGAAAGAGGCGTAGTTTATGGCCGATACCATGCTCAAGATGTGTTCCGCTGTAGTGGCAACATGGGTTGATATGCAGTCTAGTATAGTATACTGTATTACTTACCAAAGGATAGCATCATTCCCAGCAGCATAACCATCGAAATGGTGTGGCCCATCTTCCACTTGCTCAGCTGCGTCTTATACTGCGGCAGATCCTTCTCCACCGTGTGCCAGTACATCATTAACTGGGGCCACTGCCTTGCCAGATTCAGAGACACTATCAAGACCAGCAGGACCGATCCCCGGAATATAATGGGCTTGATACTGTTGAAACTAATCGGGTTGTGTAACACCTTAAACAATGACAGTCCAAAGTTGGCTATGCTCGAGGCGATGAAAAGCAGACTGAAACAGGTGCGTATGTTGCGCCAGGAGAAGCTCAGACCCGAAGGATGTTTGCCCGTCACTCCCTTGACTGGCATCATGGCAAAGAACTCCGCCACCAGGAGCACTCTGCCCACCGCCTGGTGGAAGCTGCCGTCGCTGAGGAATGCCTCCCTACCGCTGCGGGCCATCTCTGTTCGGACCAGGATTATTAGTTTTTTCCTATATCAATAGTTTATTCACTACTTACTGGGCAACTTGTTTCTTATCTCGTACTCATTCTCAATTTGATTTTTGTAGTTGTCACAACTTTCCTGAAATGCCTTCTTTCGGGCACTAAAAAATTATAGTGCCAAGGGCCAAATTTTAGGTAAGGAGCAATTATAAGTCTAACTAAATAAATACTATTTTCTTCTGCGCTTTTAGGACCCTTTCATTAAAGAACCAAATCCCACCTCTCGTGAACCAAATCCAGTTTTCTAACCAGTGATGTCCTGATCACCCTTTTCTTCAGCCGGCGCAACTTGCGCTCCAGCTTCGGAAGGATCTTCATCCTAGGACCTGCTGATTCCACTAGCAGTGGTAAACTGCTGCAGCCAACTGAATTTTCACACTGAGTGCCCAATGGCTATTAGGAACACCTGTTGTTTTGCACTTATCTATAATTAAGGAACAGCAACAACAAAGTATATATTTTGCGGGCTTAACCCCTGCCACTCCCACAAAGTTCAGCTTTCGAAACAGCCGGCCACCTTTTCCTCGCCATTGAACTGCAGCAAAATTAGTTCGTAGGTCACAATTGTGCCGGCCACCTAAGGATATAGTATAGTCCTATAATTGGATATTTTGCAAATATTTTTTGGTAAACAAACCGAAATGACAACGCCGCGTGTCAGACGAAAGAATTTCATGCCTGTCAGAGCCACATTGTCCATGTGCACCTCCTCCGCGAAGCGCTTTAGCTGCAAAGTTGTGGGAGATTATACAAGTTGCTGGCATTAGGAACTATATATATGTATATCTTCTTACCTCATCGCACCAAAATTCCCGGGGCACCAAGCGAAAGATTACTAGAGGTCGCTTGGACTCATCGTTTATACTGGAGCTATACAGGGACAGGATGAGAGTGCGACCAAGTAGGTAGACCAGTGAGAACCAAAAGTACAGGGCATGCATTATGGACGGCTTGGCCCTAGAAAAGTAAAGATATAGATTAAATATATATTGAAATAGTAGACAGCGCACTGCATGCTCTTGAGGATTTTTCCACAGATGAAGTACAGATTGTTGCTGAAGCAGAGCAGGGTAATGGTGGATAGCGCATCGTCCACCTCATCGCACAACTTGCACAGGTTTCGGAAGTTAATCCTGCACTGCATCCAGTAGTCCACAGTGGTGGGCTAAACACGGGACTACTTAGCTTCATTTGGGCTATATTACTTTGAAGCAATTTCTTACCAATCTAGCCTCCCTCAGCATGTAGTCGTTAAGCTGCCGAAAACGAGCTGCCAAAGCCACGCTAACCGCCATCACGAAGATGTCGTTGAAGTTCCAGGCGAAAGTGCTCAATACGTTGACTACCTTTCCCACGATGCCCAGGAAGTAGGTGTAGTCCACGAAGTAGAACACCGAGGAGAAGTTCAAGTAGAGGAAACTGTCTATGGGACGACCTGGCCATCGGGGACAGGAGTTGACATAGTAAACCATGGACAACATGCTCAAAATGTGCTCCACTTGAAAAGTAACAAATAAGTTAAGTAACTAAAAGATACTAAAAGATAGTTTACCCAGGGAGCAAGTGGTGGCCACGATGGTGATTATGTTGATGTGCTGGGCCAGAGATCTGCGCTCGCTGGTCATCTTCAGAGGTGGTAACTGGGCCTCCACCAACTGCCAAGACCGAGCAATTTCTGGCCACTTCCTGGCCAGTTGAAAAAATGACACCGAGATGAGGAATATGGACAAGTAGAAGATCAGAGTCTCCACCGAATCAAAATTAAACGACACATTCGTCACGTAGGCCACCATATACCCAGAGCTAACCCCAAAACACAGGATGGTCACCAGGGCGTAGTAGGTTCGAATGCCAAACCAGGTGAAGTTCAGATCTTCGGCGAGCTTGGAGCTCACTTTGCGAACTGGCATTAGAGCAAAGATCTGTGCGATTATGAGGACTGGAAAAAACTAGTGAAAGATCTTGAAATATATTCGATGAGCTAAAAACATTACCAGGCTTGATGGCTTCCTGAAAGGATCCACTGTATTTATAATCATCCTGTCTGATCCGAAGAAGCCACGCTTTTACTAAGAGTTGAATGAATAATAATTATTAGGAAAAAGTTGGAAAAACTTACTCAAAGAGAGCTTAAACTGCTTAGTGGACTTTGAGACGACTCTGTATTTAATGATTCCCAAGGTGGCGCTGGTAATTATAAGCAATCCGATTAACATGGAAACAATCCCAACAGAATCCACCTACTCGCTGCCCACGCGCGATCTGCGCCAGAATTTGATGCGAGCTAGGCACCTGCGCCGCTGGACAGGATCCCCAGTGGTCCTGGCCATGTTCCGTGCTCGACTGACAAGCAATCCACCGCTGACAAGTGGCAAGCCCGCAAATTCCCACTGGTTAGCGCTAATTGTTGGCCCCATGCCAATTGTGTGCTTATCTGTGCATAATCTTGTGCAAATACGAAGTAGACAGCTCTCGAAGGACTGACGGAGTGTATATTAATGGAAATGAAGTGCTAAGAGGGGTTAAGAGAAAAATATGCTCATGGAGGAGCCGGGTCCGCGGCTGCAAATACTTTTCTGCACCACGGCACCTTGCATTTGCCGGAAAAGCACCAGTTCGTAGCCCATTAGGGCACCGGCCATCTGAAAGGAAAAGGGGTTTTAAGGGTATCTAAAGGCGGTACTAGTACTCACAGCAAAAATAAGCCTTCGGGTTACAAAGAAGTATCCCATTCCGCTGAGTGCAAAGGTTTCATTGCGTAGCATTTCGCTCAGGCGGCCCAGATCATCGCACCATGGACTCGAGCGAACCTCGTAGAGGGTATTCGATATATCCTTGATCTCCTGGGGAATCGAGGAGGCGGCCAGCATCATGTTCATCAAGCGGCTGATCACATAAAGCAAGCAGAACCAGAAGTAAAGCTCATCCATAAAGGCTCCTTTGACTCTAAATGGATGGAAATTATTTTGAATATGCGTGTATGATATATAGGAGCAGTTTGGAACTCACTGAAAACTGTGGTAGACCTGGACACAAATGAAGTACATGTTGTGGGCGCAGCAGACCAGAATCAGTCCAGACAACTCCTTGTCGTAGAGCTTCAGCAGATTGTCCAGATCCAAGAAGTCCGAACGCACTTCCTGCCAGAACTCTTTGGCCATGGGCATTCCTAGATTCTGGCGAATACGCCAGTGCAGTTGTTGAAAGCGAATCTTCAAGCCTCGACACATCAGAAACAGGAAAATATCGCCAAAGTTCCAGACAAAAGTCATGGCCATGGTGTTCCATTCAATAAAGAACACCATCCATGCATGGTAATCAACAACCGAGAACACCTCCTGGCGCTCCCGCAGGAAATAGTTCTCCACGAATCCCACTTTCAGATTGCAATCCCGAATCTGCACATAGTTACTCCAGGCCGCACTTCCCACATAGGTTAGGTGCTCACACAGGGCAGACACCAGAAGGATAATTGCCCAGCGCCTTAGAAATCGGCTGAAATTGAGTCCTTCCTGGCTCGCATAGCAGGGTTTCAGAAAGATGCGCTCACATAGCGCGGTTTCCCGGATGATATGGGGCCAGTGACGGGCCAGTTTTATGAAGCATCCGAAACAAAATATGCAAATCACACTGAAACTCAAAGAGCCTGGGGAAAATGAGTTGCAGGAAAGGTATATAGTTATGAGTGCTCTTAAGCAAACTAATGTCACTAGTTTTAAATAGTTGTCTTGCACCTTATTTAACAATATCTCACCCATGGTATACAACTGAAGTCCACCGTTCAGTACAATCTTAGTGGAGAGCATGAAGTCTACGGTTACAAAAGTGAACGCCACCACGAAGAACAGAATGAACGGGGAAAACCAGCGAAACCGAACATTTTCCGGCTGGCTATTCGGATTTATCCCGGAAAGGGGCAGTACGCCAAAAATCCGGGCTACGAGCAGAACTGCAAGGGCAAGGTGAGAGATCTGGCCAACTGATCTGGTGAACCCAACTCACCATTTCCAATGGTGTAATGCAGGGTATTCTCCTGCACTGACCGCTCCATTTGAAGTCCCTGGACAGACAAATGGCTCTTCAGCATGGACGTGATAATTGAGATAGTTGCGACCAAACATTTCAGACACGCTTTGTATTCATAGATATCATCGGACAGGTGATTGATTAGGTGCGATTAAAAGCTAGAGAGGTGCCAAATACACGTGTAATGCGAATTTCAAACTAGAACTAGGAGAATATGCTCTTGGAGGAGCCCACACCGCCCTCGCAAAAGCTCCCTTGCACCTCGGATCCAGCCATTTGGTTAATGAGCACCAGTTCATAGACCATCAAAGTAGCAGCCATCTATCCGGATATTGAGTAGCTTAAAATGCAGTAGAATACATTATCTTTCTTGCCAACTTACTGCAAATATTAAACGTCTGGTCAGCAGAAAGTAGCCCTTGCCACTGAGCGCAAAGTGGTCGGATAGGAAAATCTCATTGAGGCGCCTGAGCTCAACGCACCAAAACTCAGTGGGTATTTCATATAGGGTGTAGGAAATCTCCTTGGCCTCTTGGGGAATCGAGGAGGCAGCGAACATCATGTTTAGAACGCGAATGATGACATAGGACAAGCAAAACCAGAAATATAACTCATCCGCATAGTTGCCCCTGGATCTGAAGCAATACAATGGTTAAAAATGTGTACCATAGGTATTTCAAATAATATTTTCCATATATAGGTCCAAGCAACTCACTGAAAGCTGTGATAAATTTGCACGCAAATAAAGTACATGTTGTGTGCACAGGATAGAACTATTAGGCCGGACAACTCCTTGTCGTAGATGCCCAGAAGATCACTGAGGTCCAGAAGATCACAGCGAATCCGCTGCCAGAATTCATTCGGCATTTGCTGCCGCACATGTTGCCGGATGCGCCAGTGCATCTGCTGGAATCGCATCTGCATACCGCGGCAGATGAGTATCAGAAAGATATCCACAAAGCTCCATACGAAGGTCATCGACAGGGTGGTCCACTCGATGAAGGGTATCCACCAGGCGGTGTATTCCATGATCAGGAAGAGCTGCTGCCGCTCCCGCTGAAAATAGTTCTGCCAAAAGTTCACATGGAGCTTGCACTCCACGATGGCCATGTGGTTGTTATACAGGGCACTGCCCACATAGGTGGAGTGCTCACACAGAGCGGCCACCAGCATGCAGACTCCCCAGAGGCGCAGGCGACTGGAGAAGTCTCGTCCATAACTGCAATCGTAAGCTGGTTCCAGGAAGATCTGCTCGCACTCCGCCGTCCGCCGGATGATGTATGGCCAGCGGTGGGATAACAGCAGGAAGACCCCGAAGCCGAAGATGCAGATCACGCTGAAACTTAGGGATCCTGGATAAGGAAAGGACTGCTGGTCAATGTGCTATTGAGGATATATTCAGCTCACCTATGGTATAGATTTTCAGGCCATGATCGAACACCACTTTCGAGGATAGGCCGCAGTCCACGATGGAAAAAACAAACAAGATCAGAGCAGCAAGCAGGGACAGGGATATCCAGCGGAAGCGCACCTTCTCCGGGCGCGAGTTTGGCCAGGTCCCCGCCACAGGCAGCACTCCAAAGAACTGGGCTATAGCCAAAACTGAACAATATCCGATTTATTTTACTACAATCCCCAATCCCTAACTCACTAACTGACTGACCAGGGCCGATGGCGTGCAGAAGCGTGTTTCTGGTGCCTCTTTGACCCGACTGCTGCATGGCTTGACTGTTGGGTAGCAAATGGAAAGAGGTCCCTCAAGTCCTAGGGACACGGCAAAAACAAGGGGCGTGTGCCAAACTGATTGCAGATTAGGATCTCGCGAATGTGGATTCGGTGCGGGTGCATGGGCGTGACACTTATGACTAAATGTGTTCTTGGAATGGAGATTCGAGTGCTAAACTTTAGGATCTAGTATTCCCTGCAGTACTGAGTCTTTTGCCTGATGGAACCCTGGTTAAGAACGTCCGATATCATGAGCTCATAGGTGATAATAGTGGTGCCCATCTAAAGTGGGTTGTATATGGTTACAAGCATGAGTTGCACTATTTTATTGGGCAATCTTACGGCCAGGACGAGTGAGCGGGTGAGGTAGAAGAATCCGCTGCCAGAGAGAGCTGTCGTATCATTTCCCAACTGCTCGCTAAAGCGCTGAACCTGCGGATAAACTCGTTCATCTTTGGGTGTTACATATAAAAGATACTTCCACCTCTATGGACCACGCTCTGGAGGGCACATCCCGCAAGGCTGTGACAATCTTTCGTTCGTAGTCGTTTATGGAAGAGGCCACAAAAATAGTTAGCAATGTGCGAACTACGGCGAATCCTAGGGAGTACCAGAAAGCCAACATCACGAGGAAGTCCACTCCTATATTTCTGTAACCGAATTGTAGAAAATGTTTATTCCAACTGTGCCGAATTGCTGCTCCACTCACTTGAAGCTGTTGAACAGCTGAAAGCAAATGAAGGACATGTTGTTCCCAAAGGCCAGGAGCACCAGTGGAGCTATTGCAGCATCGAGGAGATGCACCAAACGCTTTAGTGCCAGGTAGTGCTCCCGAATCTCTGTCCAAAATACCGCGGGCATTACTTTCCTATGAACAGCAGCAATTCTCCTGTAGAGCTGATGAAATCTGGCGGCCAAACCAATGCCGATGCACATGATGAAGCAGTCGGTGAATGAGCGCGGATAGGCAATGGTCTGGTTAACCCACTGGAAAATGATCAAATGCTAGCTTGGCACTACAAAATGAGATATCCCCAGGGTACAGCACCTCTAAGATGGGCAGCATCCAAAAGTGGTAGGGCAGGATCATGTAGAGATGTGGTCGCTCCCACTTGTAAATGCTCTCAAAGTAGGTAACATTGATCTTGCACTGGGTGCGCTCCATGTTACTCAGATGAAATGAGTTGCCCAGCAGGAGACAGTGCTCCACTTGAATGGATATTTAAGCATTGAATATGAAGCAATTAATTTAAGCAAGAGCTCACGCAAAGCCGATGACATGACAATTGTAAACACGATGTAGATGCGCCTCCTAATCTTGTACTCCCCGTAGAACCGATAGGGAACCCGCAGAAAGAGCTGCTCCACCCCATGCCAGGTGCGCATAATCCTGGGCCACTGGATGGCCAGTCTCCAGAAGAAGAGGTGCTCCAGAAGGCAGACAATATACAGGGAGAGGGTGCTGGAGGTGTGAAAGTTGATGGTCACATTGATGACATAGTTGATGACGGCCCCGAATTCGCTGAGGTTTAGAATCACAATGAGCAGGGAGTAAAAGATGCGAGGCGACCTCCAACGAAACCGGATATCCGCCACGTCCAAAGCGCGTACATTGCTAACCGGAAGCAGGCCGTAGATTTGCGTAATAAACAGCACTGCGAAAATATTTTATTCAATGTTCAACAATCAAGTGAATTAAGGATAGCCACACCTCTCGAGACCGCCCGATGGAATGTCTCGCCCTGCGGCATGGCCAAACTAGCACTGACCAAGCACTTGCCAATCTGGCGTGCCAAGTGCCCGCGGTATTTCCAGGGGGGCGTGGCCGTTCTAAACGATTTACCAACTAAGTATTTACAGCTAGTAGTGGCGCCTGTCACATTCAGCTGACATGACAAATGGGTCGGGAGTGGGAAGTGCGAAGTGGGATGATGTGGTGCCTGTTGTTGTCCATCAGGCACACAGTGGCTGCAGTCCTTTGCGTCGATTGGCTTCATCGAATTGCAAAAGGACCAGTTCGTAGGTGACAATGGTTCCAGCCATCTGAAGGGGCAGAGAAAACACAGAAGAGTGAGCATTAACTGGCATTTTTCAGGTGCCACTCACGCCAAAGAGCAGTCGTCGCGTGAGGAAGTAGAACTTTTTGCCGGAAAGAGCCACGGTCTGGGTGGTCATCTGGAATATGAGGCGCTCCACCTCCACGCACCAGCTGCAGCTCGGAACCCTTCTCAGGACTCCGAGTCCTCGCTTGGACTCCTCATTGATGTCAGCCGCCGTGAGGAACACAAAGGCCGTTCGTCCGATGAGATAGAGGAGGGAGTACCAGAAGTATATGTAGTTGATGGGCCAACGTAGTTTGCTAGGCAATAAAGATGTACTCCAATATGAACTATATATCTTGGTTACTCACTTGAAAACGTTCAGGAGCTGGTAGCACACAAAGTACAGGTTGTTAACACAGGAAAGCAGGATTAAACTGGACATGGCGCTATCCACAAACTCCAGCAGCTCGCACATCTTGACGTAGTGCTCCCTGATTTCGATGAACACGGATTCGCAGACCTCTTTGTGTTCCAGTTTGCGAATTCGAGCAGTTATTTGCTCGAATCTGTAGGACAGACCCTTGCTGATCATCATGATGAACAGGTCCATGTAGTTCCACACAAAAGTGCACGCTCCGTTGATTGACTAATAATAGGTTATTGAAAATATGTACATGGCTTTTTGGTAATGAGACTTGCCAGCACAAGAACACCTATGATGGGACTGTAGGGCAGCAGTTGAAACACGTAGTCATAGTTCCTCTGCATGTAGTTACCAAAACTGGGCACTGTAGTTATATTGGCGCACAGCTGAATGCGACGTGTATAGCTTAGAATAGCAGATACCTGGTACAGAGCATGCTCACCTAACAGTTGGAAGAAGGGTGGTTAGTGCATCATTAAAAGATAATTAGGAACTCACCTAAGGACAAGCCAATAATAGCCAAGGCAGCCAATTGCACCCGACGCGCAAGATTCCTCTTGGGTATTTCATATGGGGACTTGGTAAAAACCATTTCCGTTCTGGTCCAGATTCGTACAACTGCTGGCCACTTTTTGGCCAGGCGAATGAAGACCACATAGGCCGACAAAACACAGCCAAAGAACACTAGACCCACTGGGCGAATACAAATCCCATGCTAACTATCAGCTAAAAAAGCTATCCCACTGATCTTACCAAAATTCTTGGCCGTAATGCCAATTTTGAGCAGGCGTGTGAACATGCCCAAAAACAATATGAATGTGGCTGTCATGAAGATCGCGGTAAAGAGCATGGGAAACGATTTATAGGCAAATCGAACCCGGCGGGGATTAGATTCCCGAATGCCCACCAGCGGCATTATGGCGACGCATTGGGCCAAAAACATCACTAAATCGGAGAATAATGTATACATATTTGTTTATAATAATTGTTCAAGCTTACATGGAAATACAGCCCTGTGGAATAGATCCAGGTTGGCATAGTTGGGCAACTTTTCGCTGGCCAGCACATTGAATTCCAGATTGGCATCCTCCACAAACTTCGGCGGAGGCGTTTCCGGCTTGGTCAAACTATCCACCTGCTTAACGCCATTATCCTTGCTGGGAGTTTTTCGAAAATTCAGAGTGGGTCCTTCCATGACGCTGGTCCCTGTTGCACTGACACGAAATGCGAAACTTAAACATGTCCAAGGCTTGTCATGGGCGGAGTTGGGCCCTCCACAATGGATTTGGCTGCACCACGGTGTCCGTCTGAAGTGCCACTAATTAAGGGCTTTGGACTGAGCTAGTCCGAGTATGTAAACAACAATTATGAGGCACTCCCTGGTATATGAAATACGGGGGCGCAGACTATCGATGGGTTCGGATGCATCCGCATCCGGCAGATTACAGTTCGCGCTGAGATACCTGTTAACGAGAATTTTCCAAATAGGCACAGATATATAATATATTGGCTTTTAAGCGAAGTACTTGAGTTTTGGTTTGTCCACTTTTAGGCTGAATAATATTTCCGCGAATCACCTATTTTAATACGAATACTTATATTTTATGTGCTTCCGTAGTGAACAACCTGTGGTAAAATAGCTACTTATCTGCGATGTTAATCGAGTATTGATTGATATTGCGAGTGAAGTGATACTCGACCAGTTCAGATAATAGGTTGCCTATCTATAAACATTCGTTATCAATGCTTTTTAAAATGTAATACTTCCGAATAGACTTATAACAGTCAAAACAACCTTGACTTACATTTTTAACATGACAGCAAAATACAATTTATTTTAACAGTTTTAAGAAGCATTTCCAATATCAGGAAGTTCTTCAATCAGTTGTATCCAACAGTTAAGAGCCAATCGCTGTTAAGTTTGAATACAATAGTGATCATATGGGAATAGATCGGATGGATTGGATCCACTCTGGGGGCTTGGGGCAGTGGCTGAGAGCAACTCGTTGCGACTGGTTCTGCGACAGGTGTCGGATTGAAATAATAGCAAAAACATTCGTGTGCTTTTTGTTTACGCAGATAAACAACGTGCGCATATGAACATCAGCGAGAAATACTGCTCAAATAATTGTTTGTTCAAAACAATCAGGTGTGCTTTTCATAATACTAAAAGTTTCTAATTTCTAAACGACAAGGTGTGCGCGCTACTACTTATAAATTTCGGTGTTAGTTTAAATTTAAATGCTCTTCAGCTTTTTAAGATGCAGCAGAACTCTTGTGCAAAGGAAAATAAGCAACACAAAATTACAGCTTATGGTAATTGTAAAAATGTATTAAAAACGTGCTTAAAAGATGTAGGCTTACTATATCGCGGTTTAAATAAAATCAAAATATTCACGCCATGAGCGATGCAATGAATTATCCGCAACAAGTGACATGAAATGACAAAAGATCCGGATTTTATATCTACTAAAAAAGCTTAATGAACTGGTACTTGAATACATAAATGAATTCATTCATTCCTAAAATGAAACTATAAGTGATACAAAAATGCTTATCGGGAGTTAATTTGTGTAAGATTCTCTATACTTATAACCTCTCATAACCTTATCGACATTTATGAATACAAATGCCGCACTTATTCTGCGGCAAATTAGGATCTTTCATCAAAGTAGCTCGCTCATGAGCAATCAAATGAGGTCTTTACAAACCGGTACTTGGGTTAATTTACACGATTTCTGGGTGTATAAGGTCTCTAGGCGTTCCCATATCAGGTTGCTTATCAGTTCGCGTCCGACGCTCGACGACTTCGCTTCGGTTTTGGTCTGGGTTTGGGTTTTCGCATCGAGCCAATAACATTTATTTGACCGACAAGGTGATTAGAGGCGTCTGTGACGGAGGCGGCGACTTGGAAATGGCATCCGGACCGTTTTTTGTGGGCGTGGACGTGGGCACGGGCAGTGCGAGGGCTGCCCTGGTGGCCTCCGATGGGCGTGTCCTGGAGCAGTCGGTGCAGACGATCCAAACCTGGAACCCAGAGCCGGGCTACTACAACCAGTCCTCCGATAATATATGGCAGTCCATCTGCCAGGTGGTGAAGGCAAGTCTTGAGCTTATGACAGATAATTATAGATCCTTTCTGGGTTGCACGTACAACTAAAATAGATTGATCTCGCACTGATTCATTTAATCAAGTAATTAGGGGAATCTCTTAAGCTTAAATCTAAATAAAATATTGGAGGTTTTCCACTCTTTTTAACCAATTACTTTGATTGGTAGCGAATTGCTTCGTAAAGAGATTGAAACATTTCATAATTAAATTAATTCAAAAATAAGTTTTAAGACTTCCATTTGGATCCATAAACCCAGTAATGATCTTATATGTGCTCTGTGCGATAACCTCAGTCGTTCGGCGACGTTTCTCGCGAAGATTAGATTAACCCAGTGCCGATTTACAGAAAGTCATTGGCGGCGTCGATAAGTCAGAAGTCAAGGGCATTGGCTTTGATGCCACCTGCTCCTTGGTGGTTCTGGGCCCCAAGGGATCTCCGTTGACGGTGAGCAAATCCGGTGAGGCGGAGCAGAACATAATTCTCTGGATGGACCATCGTGCCGAGCAGGAAACCCAGGAGATAAATGCCTTCAAGAACCCGCTGCTGAAGTATGTGGGTGGTCAGGTTTCGCTGGAAATGGAGGTTCCTAAATTGCTGTGGCTAAAGCGGAATCTTGCAAAGACCTTTGGAAATATTTGGAGGGTCTTCGACCTGCCCGACTTTCTGACCTGGAGAGCCACTGGTGTGGATACCCGATCGCTTTGCTCAGTGGTGTGCAAGTGGAACTATGATGCAGCGAATGGCAGTTGGAGCAAGGAGTTCCTCAAACAGGCGGATTTGGAGGAGTTGACCCGGAATAACTTCGAGATATTGGGCAGTGATGTCCAGCCTCCTGGCCGAATAGTGGGCAAAGGACTCACTGCCAAGGCTGCCGGGGAATTGGGCTTAACCGCCGGCACTGTGGTTAGCACCTCTCTAATCGACGCCCATGCTGGCGCCTTGGGAATGTTTGGGTGCCGCTCGAAGGAGTCCAAGGGTGCCGACGATGTCCAGGGCAAGATGGCGCTGATTGCCGGCACATCCACTTGCCACATGAGCATCACCCGGGAGGCCTGCTTCGCCCAAGGTGTTTGGGGTCCCTATCAGGATGCCATTATTCCGGGATACTTCCTGAACGAGGGCGGTCAGAGCATCGCAGGACACCTCCTAGATCACGTCCTCAAGTCGCATGAATCCTACGCTGAACTGAAAGCCGAACTGGGAGAGGATAAGTTTATCTACCAGCATCTTAATAAGCTGCTGCCGGAACTGGCAGCAGCTCGAGGATTAAGCCAGGTGGGTTGTCTCACCCAGGATGTCCATGTCTGGCCGGACCTGCATGGAAATCGGTCACCCATCGCCGATCCCACGCTGCGAGGAGTGGTAAGTAATATGCATTTTAATAGGTTTGTTCATTATTGACTTGGAAAATGATTGCTTTCAGATTACTGGTCTGGATATGACGCGAGGAACTGAATCTCTGGCCATCAAATACTTGGCGTTCGTCCAAGCTCTGGCTGTAAGTTGCATCCTTCTAATTTAGTTAGAACTATGATATTTATTCGATATTATTTTAGTACGGCACACGTCACATTATCGAGAACCTTTACCAGTACGGTAGAGCTCCCTTTCAAACACTACTTTTCTGCGGGGGATTGGCCAAGAATCCCTTGTACGTACAATGCCATGCGGACATTTGCAATCTGCCCGCATTGATTCCGGATGAACAGGAAATGGTTCTGGTGGGTGCTGCTGCCTTGGGTGCCGCTGCCTCCGGACACTTTGACAGCTTGGAGGTAAGCTTTAGAATTGCATATAATAACTGGTTTATAAACTACTTTTTGTGCTCTTAGAGCGCCTCGAAAGCCATGGGTGGCACTGGCCAGCTTGTAAAGCCGAACCCGGAAACCCTAGAGTTCCACAATCGCAAGTACAAGGTGTTCCTACAGCTGCTGGAGAACCAAATCCAGTACAGGCGCATTATGCAGGGAGACACAAAGTGATTTTATCTTTTCGATGTCAAGACTTTCAATAATTTAAAATAAATGCCGTACATGAGCATTGTAACAAAATGAAGGGTTGGCGTACACAGGTACAAGGTGATCTTGTTGGCCTTTGGTTGGTTCCTAGGCAATGAAGGCGGCTGCTTTGGAGGCGATGCTACCACGACACACGGGGCAAGTGCCGGAGATTTTCTGAGCGCAGTCCTCGCAGAGACACACATGACCACACGGCAGGAGGATAATCTAGAAGAAAGGACGTGGTCAATAAAGCCAGGTAAGGTAATCATATTCATATTGCATCACTACCAATACTTATATTTTGATAAAGGTTTATGGTCATGGTATTGTAAAATCTTTACTACAATGCGGACGTTTATCTTAAGCATTAAAAATTGTATTTTCCTTATCTTTGCTATATGGATTCATTTGATAAACTCATCAAATATCAATACAAGTAGGGAAACTGAGTGTATTAAATTTGAAGATAGGAATTCCCAGAGAATAGCATTATGTAAATAAATGAAAAGGGTTGTCTTTACCTCCTTGGGATTGGTGGAGCATACCACGCAGAGTTGGTCGTGGGACAGAGTGTGAGGACGACTTCTCGCTCTTCGCTCCCGGCGCTCCGCCTCCAGGCGGTCGCGGATTTTGGCCTCCTCCCGCTGCTGTTTCCGTTGTCGGTAGAACTTCTTGGCAATGAAGGCTACTAGGACGACAGAGATGGTGCTACACACAACCAGCTTAAGCCTAGAAAGCATTAAGTGGAATGTATTAAAAGTAAACACACATAAGGAGCACTACCCACATTGTCGATGCCTTGGCATCTTCGAACCGCTTGATGAGCGTGGACTTGGTGGCAGTGGTCAGGAAGAGGGGTCCCTGATTGGAGGGCTGCATGCGCAGAGTATTGCCATCCAACTCCAGTTCACCAATAGCGGTCAGGAAGCTGCCTTCCCTGAGAACCTCCTCTGTTGTTTGTAAGCCCCTCTGGCGGACGCCAGAGAAGAAACCAAACACATGGTCGAAGAGGGACAGATTGGAGGGCTCGTAGTTGTCGTAGACCATGTCCACGTCCAAAACGGCGGCACTCAAGGCGTCCACAATCTCCACACCATGGTTCTGGTTACGCAACTCGAAGGGCATCTCGTTGGCGGACTCGTGCAGCAATTTGTGGTGCTCCGTCCAGAAGCCGGCGAATCCCCTCGTTACCCTGTGCTCGTGCAGCTTCACAATCTGCAGGACTCCACTCACACTGGGCACCAGGGAGCTCCTCAATGGTACCCCAATGGGCGTCACTGTGCCCCGGATTACCGCATATGGTATCTTCTTGTCGCGCTGCCGCTCCACCACCGATTTCAGCTCCCCATCGATGTTGTATTGCGGTGCCGCCTGGAAAGCAGCAGCACCCACTCAATAAACGCGGCCCAATACCATGCACCACGTATACGCACCTTCAGCACCTGGGCAGTTCGCTTGTAGTGCACGTACTCCCGCGCACATAGGCCCAGTATCAATAGATCTACGCCCAGTGCAATGGATTCGTGTAAGAATTCCATATTGTGTTATGCTATATTATTTACCTTAGACTACAGAAACATATGTTTATTTAGTGTGGCTGTGCTTCCGGTTGCTCGTAGCGGGTTCAAAAATACTGACCTGATACTACCTGGTAAATGGAACTGGTTCATCGCTGAAGCTACAGTTGGGTGCATGGTCACTCTAAAATCATAAATTTACCGCCCAAAATAAATAAGTTTAATATAATTTGGTGGCAGATCACAACTAAACTATTCCCAATTTGCATTAAGTAAGCTAGCAACGCAAACCCATCTGTATTTTAAAACTCAATCACTGTTATGTATTTCAAGCAAGCACATTTATCACTAAATTCATATAATTGCGCCAGAAAGAACCAAGAGCTGAATTCCTTATGGCTTGCCAATGATATTGTCGATGGTAAACAGGGTGGTCTTTGATCGGCTGCTGGCCACTGGACTACTCCGAGAGCCATCCTCCACATCCTTGAGTCCGTGGAGAGCTTCACCAAGGAGAGGCGCACCCGATGAGCTGGTTTCCCGCCGACTTAGTGGAGGAGTGAAGGCGCTCGGGGAATGTAGCTCCTCATGCAGTTCCGTGGGGCTTTGCAGTGCTTTGCTGGAGCTGGAGGAGGCGTCCACGTCGTCTGGGCACTCCCTGATCCCGGGCAGTGGTCGGATGGCCCTGCTCTCGCTGTTGAACAGACTGTTGAAGCCCAGGGACACGGACAAGTACTGCCTGTGTAGATCCGTAATCCTGTCGGAGTAATTGGGCCTCTCGTTGCAGAAGATATCGAAGTCACTCAGTGGCTCGCTGGACGAACGAATCTCTGCTGCACTACTGTTGCCATCGTTGGAATCCTGAAGGTACACATTCAATTTATTTGTTTATGTTTTTAAGTTTGGAATATGTTTCATACCCTTCCGGATTCCCTTTCGTAGCGAGTTGAGTGGCCACAATGCCTTTGTCTGCGCGTTCTCCTCCGGCGGTAGTTTCCCTGCTCGAACATGTCCGATGCGGAGGAGTCCAACATCCAGTAGCTTCCCTTCCCAGCACTGTCATTATCCTCAATTGTGTTCTTGTCCCGTGGAATCTTCACGAAGCAGTCGTTCAGGGACAGATTGTGGCGGATTGAGTTCTGCCAGCCCTGCTTGTTTTCCCTATAGTATGGAAATCTAAAACATAATTGGAACATTAATTATGAGTACCATTTCCCAGAGAGTCTACAATTTTGCAAGGCCCTAACATTTTTATGCAATTTGCAATAGAAAAACTGCCTTTGTTTTTACCGACGATTCTGTAAATATACTTGTACGACTTCAATATATTTATAAATGCCCATCAAAAAGTATTTCCTTCAGGCTGCTCTGAATAACTGATTTTGTACATATAAAAATCATTTTACAATCCGAAAAACTCGCTGTTGATACACATCTTATTAGCCCATATCTATATCCTCCGTTGGTTTGTTTAAATCAAGCGATCCGAAAAAGCAATGAAAATAATATTTGTTTATGTTGATAAAGAAATCGGAAATATTTAGTTTACAAACACATGAATTCATTGTTCATTTTCTTGGTTTTTTAATTACTTGCGATCAATTTATACAAAATCTGCCCGCCATTTTTTATGAATTGTGTTCAGGCAGGAAAGGAAATATTAAATGTATATATTTTTGAATATTTCTTAAAGATATGGCTAATAAATTTGAGTCGAGAAATGAAACCGTTTCGTATGGAATAATTATCAAGCAATCTTCGTGATATAAATATCACATTAAGAAACTGAATTTATGCTTAATATTTCACCGACTTAATCCCAGTTGTGGCAAAAGTTTCGTCAACTGTTTTGAAATGAGTCTCGGGATAAAAACTTCTTGGGCTTATACAGATACTTGGAATGTTGCGCTTGTTTATTTTGGCATTTGATTTAGTCAAGAATGCCATCTAAATTTCTCTTGATTTTAGGCGAGGCAGAACATTTATTTTCGTTGGATTGAAACAACAGGAGCTTTAGTAAAATATATGTATAGGCTTTTAAAAAATTGAAAATGTTGAATAGCGTTTGCATGCGCTTTGGGTAGCGAAATGGGTAGAGATTGTAATAGCTCATAATTATAAGTATTGTTCGGCTAACTTACTTATCCATGATGAACTTGTAGATTCCACTGAGCGTCAATCGCTGGTTGGGAGCACTGCTTATGGCCATGGCAATGAGGGCAATGTAGGAGAAAGGCGGCTTTTCCGGTCGATGGGAGTTGTGCAGAAAGGAAATGGGCAATCCCCAGATGTTGTTATGCAGGGCCAGGAAGTTATCGATGCCCTGGTAGTAGAAGGCCGGCGAAAACGAACCGCACATCAGACCCTCCATTCCCGCACCTCCGACGGCACTTGGTCCCAGTGGATTGGGGGACACCTGGATCCTGAGATAGTCCGGATTGGCGAGCAGCGAGTTAACCAGCTCCTCGCTGTCCGGCAGCATCGATCCATTGGCGTAGCAGGATGGTAACATTTTCTAACCGTAATCCCAGTAACTTCACCTCAAGTTCTTCTATATTTTTCACTTTTGTATCTTCACTTTGTATCTCTCGGATACTTTGCTTCGATTTTCGCTTCACTGTAACTTGGTCAACTATAGGACATTTATCCTGCTTTCCGGAGAGCTATTACTTCCGAACTTGTGGGTGATGCGAGCGCGACTGTGGACCATGTGTTGCGTCAGCCAAGAAATCCGATCGACTAATGAATGAGCTCGGATACGCAGATCACTTGTAATGGGTGTGTGTTCTTGGGGAGAGCAGCGCATTGGTCTATTAATATAGGGATATGCAAACACCCTCACCACAAGATCCACACATGCTTAAGTTCTCGGAGAGGGAAAGACAGTTTTCCTTGGAAAATCGAAATTACATTAAGGAAGAATCTGAATAAATCTGTTGAAAAGTAAAAGTAGCGCCCATGAACGGGTTTTTATTAACTGCTAATACAATCGTGAACAGATATTAACCTTTTTTGTGGTACCAGATTAATTGGTAATACAAACGTGAACAGATACTATCCATTTTGTAGTACCAGATTTTGATATCATGTGATTTGTGATATCATTAGATATTAAATATGCTTGGTTGCATTATAGCTTTTTCAGATATACCCGCTATATGGCAGATCTTTCGTTCGAGGGGCGTTGCCACAAATGTTCTCCACTCTTTCCATGTTTATTTGTGTCCGTTCTCATTTGTGTGTGTTTTCCACGATGGGCGGAGTCAAGATCTTTTGCGTGTGTGTGAGTGAGTGTGGGAGAGCCCAATGTGTTTTGAATAATATGTCGATTGGATTTTTCAACAAATGAAAATCGAGCAAAGTTTACACTTGAATTACGGGCACTTGAAGGGGACTTTTTAAAACTTGGAAAATAGTGTTAGGGTTCTAGGATCTCATGCGTACATCGTTAGTCAAATTATTAACAATAGTCTATATATGAGTGATCCATAATCATTGCAATATTTAGTCATATATCCTGCCTTTGTCTAGTTTGATTTTATATCATGTTGAATAATTTGATAAGTTTCAGATCCCTTGCACTCACTAAAGAGCTTTGATAACTTCTCAGTTCAATTGGTTTGTAAACATTATTCAAGTAAAACGATTCCCAGAAGCACTCCATTATACATTCCACCGGATAACAGCTGGCTAGATAATGCCAGAAGTTGGCATTATCTGGTCCCTTGACATCGCTATCTTTCGATTTTTACGACTTTTCCGAGCGAACGAAAGCGAGAGTAAACTCGGCAGTCAAGTACGCAATTTTCGGAATGCAACCAAAGTCTTGGTCTATATCTTAAAAGGTCGTAAAATAATTGTGTATACATTTCAAACAGGACTACGAACGATTTTTACGATCGTTCCGTTCTCAAGTAGAAAGCAGAGATCATTTGAAAGAAATAAAAACATTGAACGCAAATCGAAAATCAGAAAAACAGAATATCAGAAAATCAGAAAATCCAAAATACCGAGGCAATTGAAGTTCACATGTGTGGAAGATGCCACAAAGGATTCTTCACGCTCTCTCCCGATTTATTCAAATTTTACGATCCGATCGCTTACCGCTGCTGAAAATGGGTCATAAAACAATGGGTTATCCTATGGCCCACGATCCTCTGATTTTCTCGAAGATGTCGCTGCCCTGCGTGTTTTGCTTGCTTATTTTTAGACCTATGCTGGGAATAGTATTGGAAACAAATATTGTTTTTTATGGCCCAGCTCGGTTTGGTTTCTGGTCCGAACACCGATGTTTTCGCTCTGAAACTGTGTTTTCTTATTGCTTCCCTACATCTTTTTGACATATCCATCTAAGCCGTAAAACGCCTACGATCCTGTTTGTTTAGTCGCCGCAACTTAATCGCTGTGTGTAATTGCCTAGTTATAGTTATAGTTTAGTGCGTGACTACCGCTGTTGTTGTTCCCGTTGTCATCGCTTGATTTATGCTGCGAACTGCCTGCGTTAAGCTGAGATACGTTACAGTAGAGCCTCGAGATATTGCTCCGCTTTTATAAATCTACTGCCCGTTGAGTCAGGATCAAGTGAGAATATTGTTTCCCAATAGAAGTTATCTGCATAGAAGTTACAACTATTTTCCCCGCTTAATTTTGGAGTACTCCCAATAGCGTGTAGTTTTATGTGGTTCCACTGTAAGATCTTTAACTTCAGGCACCCTTCGTGCAAAGTACACTCGGCTGCCAGTCGACACCTTGTCAAAATTTGATGTAATCACTCGACACTGTGGCTTGCTCCCGAGATCAAAGACAACAAATCATCGATCAGCGTGGATTTGTGGCTGTGCTCGACAAGCGGTGATTTGTCAAAAATCGATGGGGTGCCCCGCCAGATATGTAATGCCCCATGTCAGGCCACATGCCACATGCCCCATGCCCCATGAGCCCGCGTTTATTGGGAGGCATTAACATCTAGTAGGACCTATTTATAGGCGCCGTAAAATGCAGCACGGACTATTAGGAGGCTGGGATGCTGTGCTGCCGTGTTGTTTGACAACAAATAGCGAGGACCGCAGAGCCGGGCCCCTTCGTTCCACATCATTGACAGCAAATTATCCACATTACCTGAATTGTCAGGACCGCTCTTTGCCCATTAGCCATTACGGCGGTGTGAACGTGACCTTTGCCGGCCATTAAATGGCACACTCGGCGTCCCGGAATCGGAAATTTATGCGATTCTTGACACTAGTTGCATGGCACCAGCTCCAGCTTCAGCTCCAGCATGTTCATCCCCATCCCCAACCCCAACCAGCAATCTCCGCCAGCATCCTCGATGATAATGATGACTTTCGGAACGCCAGAAGATTTCTGAAATGAAATGCGTGAGCAATAAACTGGTTGTTGACCTGTGACGACGCCAGTTTCCCCCGTCCTGCGCTCCTTATTTGTTGGTAACAGGTGTTGGACACTCGTGTAATCGCGGCCATTTCGATTCAGCTCCTTGGCCAAAGGGTTGGTGTTAATTAATGGCGGGTTTGAAGTCGATAGCGGTAAGCGAAGACCATAATTTATTTAGCCATTGAGTTTGTTGGCAAGTGCAATTGATTTGTGTTTTGCAGACTTGAGTTTTTATGTTCGCTGAAGGAGTCAAAGGTAAATGTACTAGGTTTGTTCCTCGAAAACCTTAAACATTAGGTATACTGCTATGTATTTCAGAGAAATACGGCAGGCAATACTAGTTGCATCAGTCTGGAATTGATGAAATCTAAAATATACAATTACAAAGTGGGTGCAAGATGCTTCCAAGTTCGCAACTTTAATTCACTCCAATAACTCGAATCATTTGTAGCATTCTCCCTCTGACAGCAGCTCATTTGCACTTGAAAAACCTATAAATTGAGTGATAACTTCGTCTTCGCAGCTATTTGGCAGCTTCAAAAAGAGCAATCTATACACAAATCGAGAATGGCTGGCTTTCGAGTGGCCCCAAACCACGGGAATCTCGTGGATTATTATTTCGTATTACTCATATTGATTTCCAGCCGCAAGAAAAGTTTTCTCGGATTTTCTGGGCGAATTCGGAGGGGGGGAGGGGACTTGGTACGGAAAAGCCAAGCTGGGCGGATGTGTTGGGGAAAAAACATAAACCAAGCACTCACATTGATTGCTTTCCCGGCCAAAATGAATCAAGGGGAAATGGAAATGTGAATGAATTTCGCACGTTTTAAGTGCCAAATTATCGGCTACTCAGCCGGCCAACGAAAAGGAATATCAAACAATTTTGCTGCACAGGTTTAACAACAATAAACTTTCAACAGCAGCGCAATGGATGTTTGTTTATTTGTTTAAATTTAGAATATCGACCACATTAAAATAGCAACAGCTTCAAAAGCCTCTCAAGTGGCCGTGCGGCCCATTAAACAGATTTCCAAGATGTATTACGGCCGAAAGCGAAACCGAAGCCCCATTTTTCCCATCTCTCGCGGCATTTTCCGGGCATTTTCCCGGCACTTTCACGGCCCTATTTTTCAGTTATACTAGGTACATGTACGAGTATGTTGCGGTTGACCCCGCGGGTAATTCGCACTTCAAAGCGAGCCCCATGCAATCTGTTTATGCCATCAAGTGGGCCAGCTGGTGGCCCCCGAAAAGATCTATGGCATTTATGAGTAAGTGTGGACTACCACGGGGGATTCCTCGAGTGCCATGTGCTAATGAGCCGCCGATGCCGTAGATGCCACCCCTCTTCCCACTCCGCCATCTAATTATCTCACATTATCCGGGGAGCTAAGTGAAATAATCTGTGGCAAGTCTGTCTACGCACCTGACATGATGCCAATGGGCATTATACCTTCCATTGCGATTCCATCATCGATCCTTGTCGCCAGCATAAAGCAGCTGTCAAATCTCCAGTTGACAGCCACTTTCATTTCGATGCATTATTAAAATACAGGCAGTGGCAACATCCTGACAACTCCCCAAGCACCTGCACTGCGAGAAACGAGCTACTCCCTCTGCACATATTTCAATCCCTCCTTGTCTCACGAGTTAGATTGTTGCTCTGCCCAACATGGAACTGCAAACGGATCTCCAGTCTTGGATGGGACTGGGATCGAAGGCTTGGGATCTAGTCCCATCCACAAGGAGTATCTCCAGTTGTATTTACGTTAGTGAAGAGATACGCGGTGGTGACTTTATTTTTCACCCAATCTTCTTCACTTTAATCAATTAATTCAAGTTATTGTCCTTCCCTGTAGAAGCAATTCCTCATAAATCATTTTATGTTTATGGGTAATGCTTTTTGTCGATTTTAGGATGCGCTTTGGGACCTTTATAGTTAGTCGCTATCGTTTTCCATCCAAAACATACATCTTAAAATCTAAACTGACCCTGCAGCTCCTGCTTTTCTTTATCACCAGTCACTAAGTACATAAACGTAGATATGTTTTTCCAAGTGCACCTTGCAACACACCCCTGCCACCTTGTGGGGCAGCCAGGTGAGCCGGAGAGCAACAGCAAAATCCATGGCCCGTCGCAGACTTCTTGGCGACTGTCGGAGCCAAACGCTTGTTTATTTTTCATGGGAAAGTCAGCCAACAAAGGGGGAGGTGGGCTGGAAAATGCTCCAGTGCTGCTGCTGCTGCTGGTGCTGCAGCACTTGTTTGTATGTAAATACAAGTAGGCAAAACTTCATGCGGTGCTCATATACCGCACTCACTCCTGGCTCGCCCGCACCCCAAACCCCTTACCCATCAATCTATTCCGTATTCGTAGT